CTTTTTAGTCCATTTATAAAAGCGTTGTATATTAAAAAGTTTTTTTTATATTATTTATTTTCTACTTTTTAGTCCTGTCTGAATAAAATTTTGCAATAGATATTAAAATAATTCAACGATATTAATAGAAAGGTGCACACACAAGCATTTACATATGTATGTACATACAAACGAGCACCAATTAATTTTATTTAAAGAAATGGCGTGTCGTCTATTTCCGCCGATATGCGTGTATAAACCCTCCTCAAGGTCTAGCCAAAAAGCCAGCAACTCACACAACACGTTCCCCAGAGCAATTCGCTCGAGAAAGTGGTACCCGGCACACGTAATACGCGGCACACAGCACAACAATCCGCCAAAACAGGCAACCCGGCCCAAAATTACCACCGTAGAAGGCAGAAGGCAGTGCAGGAGCCCAAGAATTACCCTTAAAACGGCCACAGGAGCTTAAAAAAACCAACTGGTCCCCAACTGGTCCAAAGGTAAGTAGTTTCGGACTAGTCCCAAACTGGTTCCCAACTGGTTTCCGGACTGGTCCCCGACTGGTTACCAACTGGTCCCACGAACTAGTTACCAACTGGTCCCAAAGTGGTTACCAACTGGTCCACCTATACCTCAAGTGGTCTACAAGTCACTTCACTTACAAAGCATTCGATTTAGTTGACAATAGTCAAACTACATAACGTAGACCTAAAATTTCTACAGCGAAAGTAGAACTTAGAAATCGATTTTAAGCGGTCGTTATTCATATACCCACATACATACATACATATATTACTTTTCATATCAATTCAAGTGTAATACATGCGCCCAACGCTTTTCATTTTCAATTTCAAAAGTTATCAAAACAAATTCTATGGGACTGAGAAATATTATTTTCTACTTTTTAGTCCATTTATAAAAGCGTTGTATATTAAAAAGTTTTTTTTATATTATTTATTTTCTCCTTTTTAGTCCTGTATGAATAAAAGTTTGCAATAGATATTAAAATAATTCAACGATATTAATAGAAAGGTGCACACACATGCATTTACATATGTATGTACATACGAACGAGCACCAATTAATTTTATTTAAAGAATTGACGTGTCGTCTATTTCCGGTGTAGCAAACGGCGACATCTAGATGTCATCTACCTCGCCCTATTCACTACAGCTATCGCCCTATGCACTACTTCACTACAGATGTCGCCCTATTCACTATGCTTTTTTATAGGAGCTTTTCAAAGCTTTGCTTTATGGTGTCGGACACACAACATTTGAAAGCTTCTGGATCCACAACATTGCAAGTTGATAAAAGCGTTGTAATAAAGTCGACTCTAAAGTAAGTTCCAGCTTTTTTGACATACATATATCGTCCCTCGAATAAAGAAACAGTGTAAATGCCACATACACTATTATTCGATAATTGCACCATTGGATAGACAATCCTTTAATCTATTAGAAAAATCTTTAGTTTTCTTAAATATCCCTTTGGCTCACTAATTTATTCCCGAAAAACGAAATTGTATTTGTATGGTTTGTAATGGTTTGTAAAAACTTCCAATTCGTTTTTCTCAAAACTATACTTTTCATGTTACACTATTTCATTATTCCAGCGACGATATCTCATTGTAAATTGTGTCAAAAAGTTGCAACTGCGATTACTTTAAGACTTTATTAAAACTTTACTTTGACTATAACCACGAGCTAATATTTTTTAATTCTCTGCTCACCTATAACTGCCCTGTTTACAACGCTGACGATTTGAGCCCACAGCGTTTCTGGTTCAATTTCAAAGTGCCCCGGTTGAGGGTTCAGCAATTTGACCTGCATAGAAGTGTATTATATTTAGTTGTACTCAATCTTTGCATTTCAACATTTCATATCTAAAGAGTCGAGGTTTTCAATTCAATTCAGCGATAAATTATACAAATTTACATGCGGTGTTTATGGCGCAGTGATTAACGGTGCCATAAGGCTCGATACATGACCAAGCAAATTCGTATCGCGCGAAGCGTTTAAAATCGCTGCTAGCGGTCAATTATACGGTGTTCGCAGGAGGCGATTTTCCAGGCAATTTTAGAGGCGAATCAATAGTTGTCTGCACCCCAACTGCATGGGAAGCGATTAGTTGAAAACCCGTTCACACCAGGCGATTTTCGCTTTCAACTAAAAGTTGCCTGTAAAATCGCCTCAAGCGAACACCGTATTACACAAACTCTTATGGCGGTATCAATCGCACCATCATAAACACCGCCATATGAGTTTGTATAGTTGATCGCTGGTAATGGTTTTAATCGCACCGCGCGACGCCAATCCGCTAGGTCATGTACCTAGCCCAGGGCTGGCGAAACTTTATACCAGGCATGCCCAGCGCAGGGCACTTGCTTATGGAGTTCTGCCAGCGTAAGGCATACCTGCTTTATACATACACGTGCCATTATTTTCAAAGAATTATAGAATTATTCAATGTACCCATGACGTGCGAAAAAGAA